AGACACCTGAACAAACATGAATCGACAATTCACTTCAGTCTTGATATGAACTGACTGACACCATCGTAACACCCACACCCTCCTTACGATGAATCCAAAGCTCGGACGGGACGGTGGATATACAATACTAATGAGCCCCAATTAGAGCAAAACTCGAGTCTAGTGCCTCCGAGTGTATGGGTGACCAGATGAACTTGGGACTGTGCGCAAAGGCGAAGTCTGAAGGATGGCTAGTTCAAGTAAAGAAATTCAAGAAATCGGGAGCGAAAAATCACCGGAAGTCTTAGTAGGATAGATGTGATATTGACCTGGGTGGCGTGAACAAATAACTGGTAGCGGTAGCTTCACATTGTTTGCGGCCAAAATGCTTTTTGATTTGCTGAGGAGTTTATTGGGCACGTGTTATTAAGTTTCAGATAAAATTTGGTGTATAGTATTAAAAATAAAATTCATATGGTTGAAAAATATCCCGTCAATAAAAGTATTGTTTAAACAAAACGAGACTGTTCGATGGCGCATCGTAAATGTGATACTATTTATTTCAATAAAGACAGACGGGAGCAACAGTTAAATCTTGTATTCTGTAGCTGTGAGTAGTTTGTCCCAACTAAGTTACAAGAGTAGGGGTTCACTTTCGATGCATTGATGGGTTGTAATATTTTACCGAAAAAAGATGCCTATTACCTACTTTATTTTGAAAGGAATTATAGGGAAACAGCCGGCTTTTTTTCTTCTGAAGGTTCACCTCCGCACTTATAGACTGTTAGTTGTAACGCATTCAGTATTGGTTGCCGCAGGCCCGTAAATATATTCACACACTAGGAGGACCTCTTGGAGTCGTTCATGAAGCTGAGTTCTAATCCACACAAGAAGGCCCAACAGCCTTTTGCAAAGAATTAACGTTCATTCTGAAAAATTATTATTAAAACGATCTTCGTGAAAAAAACTGAGCCCAGATCTTTAGCAACACTTTTATTGACGTCTGAAGCAAAGCAAGCAAAGGGTGCATTCTCATATTGCCCAAGTCTTATTTAATGTCTGTCGTTGGACTATCGACTTTTGGGGCGAGCGAGAAACCTCTGAAACTCTCTTTCGTCTTCAGCAGTGAAGAAAGCGACATTTGTTCTGTGTACATACCCTCTTGATAAACACCTCATGACTGAAAACGCTTTATTAGCCAATACTACCAGAAGATATACAGGAATTCTGCGACAAACGGTAAGTTTTGGAGATGAAGTGTATATTGTAGCATAAAGACGAATTGTTCTTCCAGCACAGTTAATAAATCACTATAACAATATAAATTAAATGTTGGAAATGATATGGAATGATTGTCGCTCGGGATGCAGATGTTGATATAGTTATGTTTTCCGAGCTGGAAGTGGTTTTAACTGACGTTTCGTAGCCAGATTGATGATGTTGCTTATTCTCATTATAAAACATCAGCTAACAACACTCTAACTCAAAGGAACACATCAACACCAACATAAATTGAATACATTTATTATTGATTGGTAATCAACCGTCCAAAGATACTACAAAATATTTATGTTTAGCATAAAAGATCGAGCATTTTTATCGATATTTTAATTAGTTTTTGATCCTTATATTTTACTGTGTGTAATCCAAAATCTGCAACTACATCAAAATACATGAAATGCATTACTTTGTAATCTCAACAATTTAGTGTAATCTACCTTGTCCGGACAACGTGCACTCAAACATAAGTACATGTGATTGTGTGAGATAATAGAAACTGCATGTCTGAAAATTTTGGTGATGGATAAGAATGGAACGGCAAAATTAGGCACGTATTACAACCTATACAAACACTTTTCTCAATATACCAAAAAGACATTTCCAAAACATTTGTTTACATAAAAATGAAATTGATCGTCGAAGATAAAAAATCAGTATTTCGAGCAGCTGAAAAATCATACCCCTTCTTTTACTGATCATTGAAAACCATTGAAGAGTATAAAATAAACAGAAAAATCAAAATATACGGTCCATCTGCTGCTATTTTATATCTCTCGGGAATTAGACAAAGTGATCAAGTTCCATAAACTTTGATATAGCATATAAGTCAGTAGTATATCCTTTTACTGAGTACAAAAATGCAGTGGTTTAATTGTGGTAAAATACACAGAACTGAATAAAAATCGTTCATTCAGCTACTTATTTTCAATAATTATTATTATCTGCTGTGTAATTTAAACGTAATTTAAATATACAGTATTTTTTGTCTTTTTCATCAAATAAAATATTTTAATACTTTAACACTGGAACAGTCCACTTGGGATTCAGCCCTTTTTTAGTTCTAATTATTAGTCTATCCAGTTGCATTGTAAGGGTGAAAACAGAGTTAAGTATGTGGCGTCCACTATGATTTACAATGGTTTTGGCTACAGCTAGGTGGCAAGAAAGAGTATAGTTGATTAATCATACTAAGTGGTCTCTGCTCAAATAAGTTTTCATTTGTTAGTAGAACGGCATCTAGGAGAAATCATGTAGTGTAAATTAATTGGAATACCTCTTACAATATGGACGTAGTACATTGACTGAAACCGATCGCCATTTCTTTGATGGTCAATAGTTGTCGGAATCAATACCGCCGTTATTAGTCATGATCACAAAGCACAAATGCACCAGTCAAACTCGGTGAGGTTCTCGTCAGACNCAGACCTACGAGGACCGGTTGTGAGTAATCTTCTCAATGTCGTCCGTATTCTAGTAAGGACAACTGTGATCACTGCTCACCCGTTTGCACAGGCGCGTTAATAGAAAAACAATTATTGTTCAGCTGGAGATTTAGAATCTTAGAGCGTCCTCAAAGCGCTCTCTTGTGATTCATCTCGGACTGGCAACTTTGGAACAAAACATAAACCATTTGTGTTTTGGAGAAGTATGATTGCGAGATAGGCTTTTACCACATGCACAACGAAGATAGCTGGGAGTTCAAAATATTTTATCAACCAGTGATGATAACTTTTTCCTAGTTGTGCTCCCACAGGGCAGTAACGTGACCCTTACTTTGGATTTATTGGCACCATAAACTATCTATTCTTCGCGACTCAACGATTATTCTTCAAATTTCTTGTGATATAAAGTTGTTCTATTACAGTTGATTATGTCATATTTGGCAAATCCATGGATCAACTGCGGTAATCCCTCTCGAAGATCTTCCCCTTGACCTTGTGGTACTGTTTTCAATCCGATACATTTGAGTAATTGCTTGTCTTATATCTTGTAGCATTCAGTACTACATTTGTCTAATCAAGAGCAACACCAACCTTCACAGCCCTGGAGTCGGCATGACACATCTTTTGTTGCAGGTCAAATGCCTTCTTATAAACGATGCTCTCCACTATGAGAAACTCAGTGTGGTTTTACTTCAAAGCAATGGGCCTCAGTAACTGCTATGAACCTTTTTGATTTTCAAGATGCATCTTTCCTGCGATGCATTAAGCTTGACTAATTTTCTGAAAATCGTCCGATTAAATGTAGCATGCTGAACAACTTTCTCGACAGAGCAAGTGAATCGGCTATCAAACGCAGGTAATCAGCTCTGGCTGAGTCGAAATTTCTAATTAATTCTACTTCTCTCTGAAAGATAAGCGTTTGTACATTGTTAAGCTGAATGATATCCTCTTGAAATGTTGGCATATCTTATTTCCTGACAAGGATTATTCATCAAGTGAACTGTGTGATATGCGCTTCACACTACGAGAGACATCATTGTTTAAGTAAGATATTACAGGTTTCATGATCACTGATCAAACCGTACATTGGTCAATGACCAAGTGATGAATTATCAGGAAGTGCGACATACTCAGGGGACAACATTGCATGTTCAGGAACTACGCTGTTATTCAAACGGTTTGTTTAAGCTTCCTTAAAAATAGGAGCACATTAGAAAATGCAACATCTAATGAGGGCGAAAAAGCAGCAGATTGGTTGTATCACTGTACATAAAGATATAATGAACTTTATCGAAATACTTAACTAAGTGCAATTGATTCACAGAAACCAAAAAATAGGGTGATGACTGTGGCAGTCAAAGTGTACGCATATTGCTTCATAACTCATTGCTGTTTGTCAACAACTAGCAAGATGTCAATGATAAAATTCCATTGAAAGAAACAGAAATGTACAAAATGATGACAGGTAAGTTAATAAATGTCTTCAAAGTACTACCACTAAAACACAAGTATTTTTTTACCACGAGTCTAACAATCTTTAGTAGAAAATGAATGTCCATATAACAAACAGGGACAAACTTTATCCAAGAGCCGTTGAAATGCATGTCCCTTTGCCACCAGATACAGATAATTTGTATTCGTTTTTATGTAGTTCAACTTATTCTTACATACCATATATTCTAGAATATGATACTCGAAATATACCACGGTTTAAGCCAGGAGAGAATTATCTTTCGTAAAATCTGAATCCTTTGATAAAGGTTTTGATTTATTCATTTCTTTTTACTTCCCTTTGAAATGGAGAGAGGATGTTTAAATGTGTCACAGATAACATTAAGATGTGTCAGCCGTTGTTAATGTTTTCAGTATCGTCGAAGAAATCGTTTAAAAGCAGCCTATAAGTAGATGGGTCACTGTAAACAAAAAGAAGGGCACTATTAGGATTTCGGTAGGGATGGGGCAGAAAAGTGGATCTTGAAGTTGCTGTTCCCAGGGTGTAATATTTTGACCAACACCTGACTATCATCGGGTTAGCTTACAAAGGATACTCAAGGGGGACAATCGGACAAGACGCATATAGGGACACTATCAACCCTATCTCAATATTTACTCTTCTATTATTTGGAAGATGCTGTTTATCGGGACCAAGACCGCCTACTTGACCACGGTACATCTGGCTTTTAATTTCTGTGGACTCACTCATGTGTACGCTTTTATCTCTATTCGCTCCTCAGATTATACCAACAAAACCGTGGTTGGTGCTCTGTGATGTCAATCGTACTCTTTTGTTTTACCCCCTGATTCATTGTTCATTATAAATATTGTGTAGATATCGTTAGATTAGGCACCAAACTTAGGGTCAGCTGACATTGAGTTCGATGGCTCTATCAGTGATCGTCGATAGTGTTATTACAATATAAAGCAGTTCCGTAGAGTCTTATTCGAGTCCCATACGAGTCACATTAGGGACATTCCCAGTGGATTTGGGTGCAAAGGGACTCAGTGGGACGCGAATAGGACTCAAATGGGACGACTGAGCAGACCGTGGAATGGAATTAAAAGAAATGGAATGCAGTCGTTTTCCACATAAAGATAATGCATTAGAGGTTTTGAAAAAGACAATCTGTTACATTATTTAAAAAATGCCTTATAACTTGTGTACGTGACAGTAAAGTAATCCACTGTAACTTACCTAAATTTTTCAGGTTAGGAATCAGATTCATGAGGTAAAGTCGGTAGTCTGTGGCCATTCGAGATATAGGATTTAATCGCAAATCCAAATCTTTTAGGTTTTTATTACACTGAAGTCGTTTTATTTCCTCAAAGTCATCAATGCTGTTGTAATATAAGTTGAGTACTTCAAGCAGCAAAAGATGTTCGATGCCCTATCAATGGTTATTTCACAAATAGGGATATACTTTAATGGATTTCAATGAATTTCTTGATAAGTCCAAGATTTTTAATCTCGTGAAGTGTAAAAGGGAGCTCCCGAGGTAGGTAATTTTTTCATCGTAATTTCCTTGTAAGATCAAAGTTCTAATGTCTTCTAAACAAAATCATATATTTTTTCGAAGAAGAAACTAACCCAAATTGTTACCCTCCACTTTGATTCTTTGTTTTATCCATCCCTCTGTTATAGTCAACGCTTCAAACATGTTTACAATTTTGAAACAGTGAACGGCTAGAAGGTCAATGGACTATGGACGTACAATGGTAAAACAACACCATCAATTTTCCAAGGGAGTATATTCCGGTTCAGCATTCTGTTGGAAAAAAATTAAAACCCGCACTCATTCTTTTACATTCAATCTGGCGAAAATTTTGCGAGGAAACCACGAACTTGCAACCCGGAATTGACGTAATTTTGACGGGAGATCTGGTCTGGAGTCTTGAAGTCTTGAAGTGACTCTCGGGTTAGAGGCTGGTGCCCAATGGTCCCGGATCCTTGTTCAGGTCAGGTCAGGTCGGATACACAGGACTTATGGCTGCTGCCAATGCGTCCAGTCCCTTGCACTTGTGAGCTCTGGTGCGATCCCACTGTGTTTCGACTGCAGGAGAGGTTCTTGATCCTTCACTTTGGGTTTTTGGATGACGGGAAAATGTGTAAGTGAGATGTTGGGATGTTCAATCGGTAATATCAGTAGGCTCCAGCCAAAAAAGGGGCATCGCCTGAACCGGTTTCTATGCGAGAAATTCAAGCCAGGCACGCGCTACCAGCGGGTAGGTACAAGCCGTAAATGAAGACTAGGAAAAAGTAAGAGTTTCATTTCATAAAAAAAAGAAAAAGAAAGAGATGACAAGTCACAGGACTTGGGATGAAGCCAGAAGCAGTGGAGTTTCTTGCAACAACGAGCTTGAGAGCACCACGATGATTCGAGAACTTTTTTATTCAGTTCACGTAAACTTGCGTGAATGCAGTTCTGGATAAGGAGAATACACTTCTCATGGTTCCTCGGAGTGACCACACGTTTGAGGCTTTGTCAGGATCAATGCAAAGGCTTGCAGCCCTCCGCTCCGAGTTACTCAGAGTTAGAGGTGTGCTGTGGAGAAGAAACGTCATCTAAAAATGTTGGTGCTGGATGTTCGAAATATTGTGTACAACCCTGGAACGCGTTCTTGGTTTCAAATTTCAAATTTCAGGTCGTCAAGAGGCCTCCGCCTGTGAGGTGCCCTGGTAGTGGCGTGTTCTGTCCGGGACTGACTCTCCTGCGAGTTTGTATTGTTATCGGTTTGATCGTTTCGAATTTATCTGGAATTAGAGAAAGGAAAAAGAGATGGCGCAGCTTCTGTTTCTGTTGCTGGAAGCCGATTCCAGACAGGGACTATTCTATTTGAGAAGAAGTGGTGCCTGATTTTCAGTCGGCTTCTTGTCCGCTCCAGAGTGTATAGATGCCCACGGAGATCTCTGTTTTCCATTAGGCGGAACATGTGACCCATTGGAGAACTTTTGAGGTTCCTAGACAGTTTGAAAATCTCAATCAGACCCCCTCGTAGTCTGCGTCTTTCGAGGGAGAACAGATTTAGTGTTAAGAGCCTTTCTCTGTAGCTCAGCTGCTTCATTCCCCATATCATATTGGTAGTCTCCGGATATCCTTACGGAGAAATGGGGCCCACTCTTGAACACAGTCTTGAAGGTGTGAACGACGAACGCTGCATATAATGGGATGAGAGCTTCTTTGCTTCTGTCCGTTATGGCGGTTCTAAGACAGAATAATTCTTTACGGGCCTTTACAGCTGCTGCGTCGCATGCTGTAGATTTGGTGAATTTTCATGTTACTCTAACCCCTGGGTTGNNACTGTTCTTCTACGTTAGGGGTTCCGGACTCCCAAGACGGTTGGTGATGAAGATTGAGGGACCTGCGATTTCTGAAAACAAGTGGCTCTTCCGCTTGTTGAGCGGTAGATCCCATTTGGCTGACCGTTCATATTTTGTCGATGTCAGCATGGATGGTGTCTAGTTGGCTACTGTCTTCCACCAACTTTCCGTCGTCAGAATAGAGGAAACAGGGATTTTCAAAGCCTTCGGTGATATCGTTCACGAAGATGAGAAAGAGTAGAGCTGCAAGTATGCAACCTTGCGGCAATCCGCTGGTAGGGGAACCAGTGTCCGCATGAGCCTCTCGGATTTCGACGGTGAATGAACGACCGGAGAGGAGGTTTTCTATCCAGTCGCATTTGTCCTTGGAGATTCCTGCTTCTCTAAGTTTGAAGCTCAATAGTCGGTGGTTCGCGGAGTCGAAGGCTTTCTGGAAATCTAAATAACATACTTCTATCTGGATGCCTCTGTCCAGTCTATCCGTAATAACGTCCAGGAAGTTGAAGAGATTCGAGAGGCAGGGTTTGTTCTTTAAGATTTCTTGCTGCGCGTCGCTGAAGTATCTGTTGAATAGAAAGGAGCATATCTCGTCTCGCTGGGTGCACTCAAGCGTTTTAGTTATCATCCTAGTTAGCCTA